ACCAGTTAACCAGTGAATACAGGGTGCAGTGGTGGGTACGGTAGTCATAGCCAGTTATGAAACTTTGTGCACCACGATAGACAGCATCCAACATCTGCAGCATCCAACATCTGCAGCATCCAACATCTGAAGAGTTCTTGTAGGAGTGTTCATGTAAATAATGTCACTGTATGACTATGGAGGACAAGAAAGCAGCAGTTATGAGGTGTTTCCTAGCGTTCAGAGTTAGACAGGATCTATTTCTGAAAAAGAAACAGTTTTACTTTCAATTTCTTTACTAGGTTTTCGACATGGAGCTTAAGAGAGATGTGAATCGACCAAGATACCCATGTAGATATTTATAAGAATCTACTAACTCAAAAGGAACACCATCCGAAGATAAAACAGAAGGAAGGACTTCTGGACCTTCGAACTTCCTGTTTGAAAACAACATCCCTTTGGTTTTATCAGCATCTAGCACAAGTTTGAAACAGAACAAATCTGACTGGATGATGTCGAGCTGAAAACCTTAACTGGACAATAAACAACGATGTCACTGGCATAGAAATGTAAGGAGGCATCAGGAATGACCTGACCTACATTACTTATGTAGATTGTGAAGAAGGTGGGTCCTACGACTGAACCTGGTTCTAGTGTTGGGCACAACATGCTTTACATTTTTTCTGTAGACATTATAAATGTGATATGAGGAACTTGCCAAGCAAAATTACACAAAAAGAAAAACAAACAAAGAGTAGTAAATATGTGTAACAGGTCATCAGGGCATAATAGCCAAAATTATGCTACAATATGTTTTTAATATACATTTCCACACAGTGGATCATCCTTTGTGGATCTTTCATTGTCTGCAATTAATAACCCGGATTTTAAGTTTTGACTTGAGTTCAAACTTTGTTCAGGCTTTTTAACATGTGTATGCACAATTATTTATTTATTTGTATTTATCTATGTATTTACTGTTTGTTTAATGTGCTTTCTTGAACAGCTGTGATCCTAACTCTTGTCATGCTGAGAAAATTCTCCGGGAAACTTTGACTAAAATCATTACCAGGACTCTCCGACGCCTCTGAACGCCGCATGTCTTCAATGAAATCCGATGTTTACGTTCGTCGTCATGGTGATGGTGTCGGGGGCGGTTCGTTTCTTTGGCTCGTGACGTTACGAGTGCGGTGTGAACCAATCACAGTCGTTGTTCCGCAGCCGGACTGACGTCATCGTTAAAGCAAAATGAGCCATCCTGCCCGTTACTCGGTTCCAAACTGAACAACTGCAAGATGACGGAGGACGCGGCTACAGCGTGTGGCTGATGGAAGCCCGCTGGTGTCGTCCGGCCGCCATCATTCCTCACCCGCCTCTGCTGCTGAACAGCGTCTGAAGACAGGGGGCACCGACCATCGGGATGATCTCCAACTAACTGCGGGGTGAGTGGATGCAGTTACACCACCCTGATGGGTGCGCGCGCACACCTCTCACTCTGTCATGAAACTAGTAACTACGTCCTCACCGACTGGAACACTTTTAAAGCCACAAGCGGATGAAACGTGACAGCAGAACAAGTCGTTTAGGTGAAGTGTGCTGAAAATAAGGGCTGGGCCCCTCAGATATACTCGGTGTAACCTTCGTGCGTGAGCAGGAGAAGTGCTGGGGTGGTTTAAAGGTCCTGTTTGTCCCGGTGAACTGTGCAGCAGCTGCCGCATGGTCCTGCCAGCTGCTGCACAGTTCACCGGCTCTTCATGATGCTCAGGAACTCTGTGGTGAGCTGCCGCTCATCCAGCAGCTTCAGGGTCGAGAAGTTACGGGTCTCATGTCCTCTCCGCCTCTTCCACACACAGCAGTCCTGCTTTCAGCACCAAGCAACGCTGCTGGCGGGCGATAGCGTTGTCTCCGCGCTGCAGCTGCAGCTGGGCTCGAACCTGCTCCTTTTGGCTCAGGGCAGCATCACAGCACGCGGAGCACCTCACCGTCTCCTGTCCGTGTAACGTTAGACCCGCTTCAGTCTTTTTCCACTGTCCTCACCAGCACACGCCAGCTGCAGGGATGTGTTTCACACAGGACTGCTGCACATGTGGCCAAAACAAACCACTTTACTGAAATACAGGCAGCCATGATTCTATCAGTCAGGCCTCTCTTGTAAATGAGTCCCCGCGGCTCAATGACACTAACCTGTATAAATAAAGGTT